GAATTATGTGTGTGTGTTTGCTCGTGATTTATTAAGAAAAAAAGATATCTCTCGCTCGCAGAGGGACACCCCGCAATAGGTGGATTTTTTTACTAAAAAAAAGAAAGAGAGAGAGCGAGCGAGCGAGCGAGCGAGTGTGTGCGACCGACCCACTCTTTGTGGGAAAAAATGTTCGCCAGTCAGCCACCCACCGACCCACAGTGGGTGTGTCCGCGCCAGTCCAGTCAAACGGGCACACAGGGTTTGACAGGTTGGTGGGTTGTTGGTAGGCTACCCACCCCCCCCCCCCCCCCCCTCCCTCTCTCTCTCTCTTACACACACTCCGTCACTTGTTCTCTCGCATATATATATATATATCTATACACACCCATATATATATATATAGATAGTTTTTGTATCTATATCTGTATATATATATATATATATATATATATATATATATATATATATATATATATATATATATATATATATATATATATATATATCAAGTGAAATATTTGTTAACTGGTGCCATATAACCAAATGTGCCATATAACCAAATGTGCCGGAAGGAACAATAGCAGACGGTAGAAGCAAGCATACAATTAAGACTTATCATAAATATATATATATATATATATATCAAGTGAAATATTTGTTAACTGGTGCCATATAACTAAATGTGCCCGAAGGAACAATAGCAGACGGTAGAAGCAAGCATACAATTCAGATTTATCAACAGCTGAACCAAAAACAAAATCCTATGTGTCCCATATTTCAACGGCAAAATTAAGGGGTATCCAAGCAAAGCATGAAACTTGCTAAACTATTTGAAACATACATGAGGTAAGAGAATGTCCAATTTGAAGATACAAACTGACAGCGGTAGAATGTAAAAGTAAAGGTAAAGCAAGAGCTGTCGGTGAGTTTCGAAAGGTTTTTGGTCTTCAGTAAAGGGTTCTGAAATTCCAAAATCTCCAACACATGTTACCAATCTTCATTAAGAAGTCACAATGGATAACCGGTAGGAATATCCTTGATGCAGATATCGTAGAGGTTTCTTGTGGCTCGAAGAATTTCATAATACGAAATCCTCTTTTGTGAGGTCAATAGCCAAAGCGAACTTATCGGGTGGAACAGATGATCCTATACGATAATGTCTGAGCATCAAGATTACCATTGTTGTTATGAATAACGTAGAAATTATTGGTGGTACAACATACATTACAAGTTTGGTCTTTTTGCATGCCTTCACCTTGAGATGGGCTGAATAGACTTCATTTAGTTTGAGCCTCATTGATATTTGGTGTCAAATTGACTGTCCTAGTATGCAGGTCTCAACATTAGATACTAAAAGATGGTGGTGTACCAATTATTTGATAAGTGTGCTAATTCTTTGTTGCATTTAAATGACCTTGAGTTGGAACTTTATTCATGGAAAAATCCAGATTTCCTTCAGCATATACAAGTTGGGTTGAGAAATATGACGCAAATTGTCCATATGGATGCCCAACATTTATTTTAGCAATTAATCCTATACATATAAGATATAATTTTTAAAAAAGTACTTCCCTATGGGTGATGGAGATTGATTTAATCCGATAGATACAAGATATAATTTAAAAAGTAAGTATAAAAATAAGTTTTCTAAGAAGTTCCTAAAAATCTCTACATCTTAACATTTAAAATTTTGAATTTGGACATAAACCTGTTTATTTTACTTCAAATTTAACATATCAATAATTAGTAAAAAAAAAAAACTCGTTTTCTGATGCATTGAAAAAAAATTTAGTGTTTTACATGAGTATTTAAAATTTTGGAATATTTTCATCCACATAAGATAAAATCCTACGTTTAATTTATTTTTTTTGAAAATAGATTTAGAGAGTGTTTGGATAAGCTTATAAGCTCTTCAAAAGTTTTTGCTAATTTACTTTAAAAGATCTTAAAAATTCAAAAAATAAGCTGTTGGAGAGATTTTAGATCTTTTTAAAAAAAATATCTCTACCTTATCTTTTTATTTAAGATCTTATAATTAGTAAATTATCTTATAAACTCATTGAACACTTTAAAAATTAATTCTAAAAATAAGATGTAACGCAACAACTTATCAACTCTTTATGAATGGTAAAGATCTACCCGATGTATTTCATCCGGTGTAGCATAAATACCAATTGGTTGTTAGTAGTGGGTAAGTGTTCCTCTAAATTAGGATAATTTTTTATTGGTTTTCTATTTAAGTTGTAATACTCTGATTGTGTTAAATAAAAAACACTGATTTTTCCAACATGGTATCAAAGCTTCTGACCTGTGATCCAGCTCTTTTATTGTGTAAAAGGTTTTACGTATCTTCTCTAGGGCAACACCTCCAATGATTCTCTTATTGAGAGATAAACAAAAAAAGGTTCGATAGACTCATAGAGTGTTGGTGAGTGAGTATTCATGAGAGTGGCATAAGCTTTCCTAGTAATTAGATGATTGAAAATTTCAATCATATTCAAAGAGAGCTCTACTCTTTGGATTCAATCAGGAGAAGGTGTTGCCAAAACGCCGTACGAGCAGTGGTTTCCGGGAGATTTTGCAACATAAGGAGAAATCCTTTTACTCGATGAATGAAGGGCTATTTATTCAAGCAAAATACAGGTGGGTAGCAACAGTCTGCAACCTTTGATTTTCTCTGGCGAACAGTGGGGATCCAGGTGAAGTGGAGGCAGCCTACATTCGACGGCTATGAGGCCGAACAAGGTGAAATAGAGCTGATGCCGATGTTGAGAACCATGCCGAAGAATTGAAGGATTGAAGACGTCAGCGAGGGCAAGACGGATTAGCCCATTTGTGACATTGTCGAGACAACGTTTGTTGGTGCTTTGTTTTATAAATAAAATAGAGTACTAGTAGTAGCTTTGTTAGAAATGTTAAAACTGTTTTTGTTTCTCCTCGAAGCATGTTGTTTTTCTTTTAGTACCGATGATTTGGTTATCAACATTAATTTCATAATGGATTACGTTAATTTTATAGCGGATTACGTACATTGCATTACGTTAATTTCATAGCGCATTTACGTTAATTTCACAGTGAATTTTCGATAGGTTTGTAATGGATTTCGATAAGTGTGTAGTGAACCGAAAAAAACATTCTTTAAACGAAATAAAAAAACCGAAAAACAATACTGATTTTTTTTTGTTTTGTTTTTTATTAAAGAAAATCCGAAAATCACATACGGCATATTTAAAATAGTTTAATTAATTTTCCATAACAATAAAATAGAGTAATTTTGATATTCTGCATTTAAAGGGGTTATGCCGAATGTGTGATTTAATATTGTGCTATCTCTCAGGAAATTGAATAAGGGGATTTTATCAAATAGACCCAATTAAAATAGGGGTCTGAAGATATAGGTCTCCGGTGACAAAATTTATTAAAATTAAATGACAAACTCAACTAAACCTTTGCTTCACATCCTTTATAAATTTCTTCCCAAAAATGCCCTCCACAGACAACAAATAAAATATGCACCAAGTAATATTTAAATTGTATTTATCATTTTATTATTGTGTATTTTATATTTTTATTTTTGCATCTAATATTTTTTTTTACGTGGAACCAAGTGATAAAATATGCAACCAAGTGATTTTTTTTATTTTGTCATTTTAGTATTTTTAGTGTTATAAAAATCTAATATTTTTTTTTCTTTTCCTATACCTAGTACTAGTATTCACCCGTGCGATGCACGGGGCGGCATATTTTCAACTTGAAATACATGTTTGTAAAACAAATTTACGTAGATATCAATTATTACGCTTATTAATTGAAGTACAAAACGTTATCGACCAACAATATTAAAAATTTGTTATAAGTATCATGTTCGTCATAGTTACAATATAAGAATTATATTAAATATTAGTATATCCACAAACATAAATCTTAAAGATAATAAGATTGCACTGAGTATCCTAGGGACATAACTGAAAATAACATTCCACGGGGGAAAACATATAGGAAAGATAGACCTGCCAAAGTGTAAGGTGTTAAAAAAAATAAAAACCAAGACATGTTACATGAAGAACTCATAAATATGAAAATATTTTCAACCTTCAAATTCGATGAAATACTTTCTTGTAGACGGCATTTCTAGTAACATCGGTGAGTTCGCTCGAATCCCACTTGATGACTATTTTAATGCCACATCTACTCTTAACTCTGGACAGTGCAACATATAGTTGACCATGGCTGAAGACAGGCCGAAGAAGATACAAACCAACATGCGAAAGATTTTGGACTTGGCTTTCGTTGATCGTCATTGCAAAAGAACCAATCAACAGAAACTGTCTTCTCTGAAATTTAATTGACAATCCGAAGTTAGATGGTAATAAAGTCATCCGAGGAATGAACACAATCTCACCGATATTTTTACCGGAAAGAAGTTTACAATGCAGAACGTGAATGCCGATTATAATAATTTGAAGTCTGGTCCCGTTGCACAATCATCTGCTTGATCGATGTTCTTATTAACATAACTGGTGCACCGACCTTGGACTTCAATACATGAGAAGGAACCCCCGAGCATCTTATTGTGTTGAGAAATTCAGTCGAATAGATTTTTTGCATTATCCTATGTTGTTTGCTCGTCCCTACACATACTATCTGAGCTCAGGTACACATTATCCTCACCTGGAAGGAGAGACATTAAGTGATCGTTCACAGACTCGACGCGTTCATTAGTTGGTGCAAGAATTGCCCTCCCATGAAAATAATCTGGATCATACATGTTACTTAACAAATCGGGATAGACGAAGTTCAGTAGGTCTCTGAATAGATCTTCTGAATCACCAATTAACATGTCATCGGGAATCTTTAGCGAAGCTTCACCATCATTTTGTTCCCTAACATCCCCATTACCAACCTTCATTATCCAGTCCCCAAATTCTATTACCTCGTCCACATTAGATGGATAAGAACATGACTGCAATCTCATGTTCTTACTCAACTTCATGAGACGACAGAAATTCCACAACGGAGAGGAGTTTACCGTAGCATGTACTATGTCCTGCCTTGATGCTTTGAGTACAACTGGTAACTAAAATCTCCTCCAAGAACAACCACCTTACCTCCAAACGGTTTGTCTACCTGTAATATTGACTTCATTGTCTTGTCAAGCGCTTCAAAACAGTTCATATGCATCATAGGAGCCTCATTCAATGTAATAAGCTTAGCCCCAATCATCAACTCCACTTGTGGACTTTGTTGCTTTATGCTGCAGGTGGAAGTCTCGTGTACATTTATGGGAAGTTCAAATCTAGAATGAGTTGTTCTTCCACCGAGGAGCAATAGCGATGCTATACCACTTGATGCAACATTAATTACAATCTCTCCCTTGGAACGGACTGCAGCCGAAAGAGTTTTCCAGAGAAATGTATTTCCCGTTCCACCATGACCATATAGAAAGAACATTCCACCACGGTCATTGGATACAACATCCATGGATACATCATAATCCCTTATTTTCTCGTCTGTAATTGGGGCAAGACACCGTTGAAGTTCTTTACCCATTTCAAACAGTCATAATCCAGTTCATCTAAGACCAATATGTTTATTGTGTCCTCCACCGCGAATTCGTTGAAGTTCTTTACCATTACTTTGCAATATTTTTTCTACTTTAGTGAGAGTATAGTTCATCAAGCTTTCATCCTATATAGATAAATCTGCACAAAAATTTGATACATTATATGCATTTAGTTCAAAACTTAAAGAAACTATTAAAAAAATGAGTAATATTTAAAATCTAATTGAATAATATTCTATACAAATAGCCATACCTGAATTATTATAAAGTTGTTGTTCGTAAGCAATACCATCCGCCAAACCCGACCAACAACTTTACCAAACATGTTCGGGCCGGCTTAAGCTATTGGAAAGCAACATAACCGCAAATAACCTCCTTATATAATCCCCAGATGCCCAAGCATTTACTTCTCTTATCGCGTCTATGTATTCTTTATCGTCGTTTAACAAACCCAACACATAACACGCATCCCTGAACATAGGGTAGACGTAGTCAGCAACTTTTCTGATGTCCTCGTAACATGTGCAACCATCTGAATGTTAAGTAGCAACCTAAGGTAATAGTCTTCCCCCTTTGCAGGGGAACATTTGCAATCCTACCAATAGAAAATCCATTTTTTTCTTGGCGCCCAAGTGCAAGAATCCTCCTTACACACAAACTGCTGTGGAAAATCTCCGTACCTCAAGTTCCTGGCATGTGGATAACTCTTGTTCGCCTCAAACCACGCTAAGAACATCGTTTGCTTGGCAGATGGCCTATCCAGAACACTTTGTAATGACTTATTTTCATTGAAGACAAGCGCCTGATGATCTGGGAGATAAAAGCTTAGCCTAATTATAGATGGGTCTCTGTAATGAATATCAAAATTAAACAACCTCCACATTGCCTCACATGCCGAAAGCTATCTGCAGTCGTAGTACATCTTTATCTCGTCACGAATCTCAGCACCGCCATCTATATTGCGTCTTTCGTAAAATACCGCAGTAACTCGATTATGACCCTTGTTGACGTATTTGAAACAGGTATTTGATTGACATGTTTTGGTTGCATAGCTCTATATTAATGAGAGATCTGTATTTACTCAGTAATACCCAATTGTACGGAACTACAAACCCATTGTCAAGAGTAATCTTCTTCTTCATAACCGTTATGCCATCTTCCCTTCTCCTGTACACATTATAACCATCTGCATCTGACTCAATTCGCTGCAAAAATGGCTTTGGAAATCGCTTCGTGCAAACTCGATCCTTCATACAGTGAGATTTCAAATTCGCCTGACCGCACGGTTCATGTATCATATACTTCTCCACCAACTGGTACATCTTTCTGTCGGTTTCTTCGTCAGGAATTTCAGTATATATAATCTTGTGAATTTCTTCTGGGGTCTTGGGCTTGTCATCATTATGCAACCACAACAAAATATGTGCATGCGGTAGATCTCGTTTCTGAAATTCAATAGTGCACACATCTAGAGAGGAACTGTAAACAAATGATATTAAACAATATGCATTGATTTAGTTAATGAATAAATAAATATTAAAACTCACACATGATCCATATCTTTAATTCCTATTAATGTAGTAAATGTATAATTATAAATTGAGATCTAATTAAATACTTACATGCTCTAATACGTCCGAATACACGTTATTTCTTAATTTATGTCATCATACTATCGAGCTTCATCTTGAACACACGACATAGAATGTTTGGCCGATCCCCCGGCCTGAGATTTGTATCCTTCAACACCGTTTATATTTCAGGCCATTGAGGATTGCATGTGATGGTGATGAAGAGAGTTCGAAATCCTATAATGTGAAAATAAACAATAGTTAGTTAAATATAGTTATAATCAGATTTGATAAATGGTTCATATTTGTATTTTATTGAAAGTGTATGAATAAATAATGTAGCAAATAAATTGTGTAAGAAGATTTGATAAATGGTTCGCATTTGTCACTAAATTCGTCCAATTTTAATCTAACAGCCTTACGTATGAAATCATCTTCCGTCGAGTAAGAAGACTGCGACGACATCTGACTTATCACTTGACCACCATTTGGTTTACTTCGAATGAAACTAAAAAAAAAAACTACACGCTAATAAATCGTAATGAATGAAATAAATGTAAAAACAAAGTGATTAATTTATTTAAAGATAAAATTATAGCATCGATTTGAATTCGTAATCGCAGGAATATCCTCATTTATAAGCACACGCGATGAATTCCAATGGCCAGATACCTGGACTTCGCCTAAGAAAACATAAGAATAGTCATGAAATGTAATAAATGTCCTTCACATTCATTAAACCAAATACATAAGAGAAATAGTGAACGAATTAATACCATTCTTAATCTTAGTAGTTGCAAACTGTATTACAACAATATACGACCCTACACTAATATCCTGAATTCGTTGAAGTATGTAGTCAGCAAACTTTCCCCCTAGCAAACAATCATTTGCATGTCAAAGAAAATGATGATGGATATGAAAAACACATGTAAAATCTAAAAAATAAATGTGAGCGAGTTTTAAATTACTCAATATCTTCAAGTTCAAATGGAATGTTCTGTTTGGTTCCACCGGCTAGGTGAGCCAATGAACCTTTCGACAAAAGCGAACCAATAACATCTGTAATCAATATTAAAACATTGTAAGAAAACACTTTATAAATAAATGCTAAATAGAAAGAAAAAGAAATCATATAAATAACTAATATCATCGTATACTCATTGTTGTTCGACGCTTGTTGTATATCTAAGGAAGATGTGAACTTAAATGAACACATTGGAATGGACGAAACGTCAACTTATCTCACCATAGATGTATATTCAAAAGTGACATAATAGTCATTCAATGCATGCTTGTAGGTCTTAACACTAAAAAAAAAGCGGATATGTTTGACATTATATAACATCTGTTCTCTCTGATCTTAGACACATATATGTATAACAATGTATACTTAATGGAAGCTTCCACTGTGAAAATATGGTTTGCTAACAAATCAAATTTGACGTGTAAAAATAAAATTATCACTGGTTCATCAATGAAGATCATCTCCATGTCTTGAAGATCTTTTAAAATAATTTGGTTGTTTCAAAATTCGCAAAACACGGATTTTGAGATTCCATGATTTTTTTCACCCTCCAAGTTTCTAATGAGATTTATTTACATTGACATCTATAAATGTTTAATACGCGTAATCAAAAAGTTTGTTAGTTAGTTAAGTCGCATTATAAAAGATGAATATACTATTACAAATCTTGAACTATATATGGTACCTAATATGAATTAAGTTACAATATATTATCTATATCAAAAAGTACATTAATTCCTATACTCGAATATTGTAAAAGAAAAAAGCAAAAAAAAAAAAAATTAAACGATTATTCTTAAATACTATTATACTCACGATTCACACAAAGAGAACGATGGCCGGATGATGAAGTTTCGAGAGAATAATATTATCCTGTAGTTTAGACTAACACTGAAATGAATCGTGTATATATAAGATGGTGAGATTTAATAGTTCCTAAATTATAGTAAATGAAATACAATTATAGTAATAAAATTATAGTTCCTAAAATATAGTAAATGGAATACAATTATAGTTAAGAGTCCATAAATTATAGTAAATTATAGTTAATAAATATTCATATTCCATGTAATGAAATACAATTAAGCAATTTTCTATATATAAATTCCCCAAATTTCGATTTAAATTTATTTATATGCTTAGTTAGAATTAATTATAGATCGGATACATAATTATAAAAGATTACATCAATATTAATTATTATAAAGGAAACAAAATCTATATTGCGGGAAAATATCCATATGTATAGTGGGAAAATATATGTATGTAAATGTATATGTAAAAACCAATTTTTTTTATAAAAACAATTAATACTGTATAATTTCATTCTAGAAAGGCATATATATATA